TGCGAATTTGAGCAAGAGCTTCTTTTGTTTCTTCAAGCATGGGCTGTTGTATAAAAAATAAATCATAGTAAACATGAGATATGAAAATCAGTTAATAAACATATCACGAAGATATAACATGGGCAAAGTATTATAGATATCGTAAATTGCAGGTTAAAAAGCAACAAATTCTCCAAAATCTTCTCGACTTGAATCATAAGCTCAGGGAACTCACCAATTTATTTAAGATAAAAATCCAAAAGGTAAGGAACTATTTTTTTTCTACAATCCATCTTCGTACATTTTCAACGGCAGTCTCTGAAAAAATTCTAATCAGTTGTGGTCCTAATTTTATCAAGCTTAAACTCATGCTTAGCGCAGGGAAAAAGATAGTTTCTAAATTTCCCTTCGCATAATCATTTACTCTAAATGGCCTGTAAAATTATCTTACTTGCTACTTGTTATGTTCTGGATTTAAATATTTATGAACTTCGTTTACCTAATTCTAATAATGTTTATTTCTTTTATTTTTTAGTATGTCACCTTACAAAAAGCATATCCAATTATTCTCCTTGATTATTTGTGTATTTGAAGTAATTAGTAGGAAGTTTGTATGAAGAGTACTTTCAAGTAATTAGTATTTGTATGGGTCTGAAACCTGAGATACAACGGTTGCAAATGAGAAAACGCTTGATGCATTTGAAGGACTTTGAGTGATTATTGCCCGAAAATTTTAGGAGTTGGCACAGTCATGATATAATAAAAGAGCTCTTCATAAATCGACTGCGAAAACACATCGGTGCAAAGCTGTATGAACAACGATGCAAATATGCTGGGAATCAATTAGCTGACAGAAGTATTCGGAAAAATTGAACCAATTTTTGACAAACTGTGAGTGCGGCAATGGACTCTCTGTGTGCTTTCAACAAGAAAGTAAGTAAATCTAATAAATGTAATGAATCATCCTAGCTTCCAATATTTTGATGAAGAAATTATGGTCTCATCGAGTCAACAGATTAACTGACATTGATATGATTGAAACATTGAAATCTGCAGCAATCAGCGAAAAGGAGCGTTTATATCCATCGTAACTTACAAATTTGGAATTGGAATTGTGCCAACAAGCATTTGGTTTAAAAACGAGTAATATGCTTTATTGAGCATATAACGGCCTCGCTTGGTCATTTCTGATAACAATTTTCATACTTGCAAAGTTTAGTTTTGAAATTATTTTGCGGCATACATTTTGAGAATCACTAGGTCCATTTTTAATTTTTCCTGATATTGTTATTCTATTAACATATCTGACAGTTTTTATTTCTTTCATTCTTCAGAATCTCGTCAAAAAGGGCCTGTTTTCATCTTGGTCTCGATCATCATTTAAAACAGCAAATAGTTTGGATACCAAAGCTGATGGAGCATATAAATAATTAATTGTTTATTTTCTAGGTTTTTTATTTTTTTTTCTTCTGTTTGAAGTATTTAATATACAAATTGATCAGGTAGATTACTAGACTTCTCAACAGACAGCGAAGAAGATCTAGAGATTACCATGGTTGCAAATTGTGAATCAATCAGAGAAGATTACGCTAGATCATCGTACTGGGATGATTTTGATCAAAAAACAACCGATAAAATTGTGGAGACTTCATACAAATTCTAATGATTCAAGACGATTAGATAGATGATAAATAATTTCTCGACATACCAGAAGAAACTGACTTTCAATCCAAATCAACTTTTGATGAGATAAATGATTATTCTGAATAGATATTCTTGGAAGAACACATCAGAGGAGCAAATCGTCAATATTGAACACCAATTGAGCTCATAGAACTCGCAGACACTAGCGATTAAGCACCAGAATCATCAAACTTGTGGATATTGATAACTTCTTAATAGCAAAGAGTTAAAAGAAAGCCTATCATCAAAGTTTTTATACATAAGAATTTAGAAAAGAGCAACAGTTTAATCTCGATTCAATTTAGTAGCAGGCTCAAAATGCATCAACACATTGCAAGAAGAAAATGAGAATGACTCCGTAACAGAACTTTGCCGCAAAGAAAATTAACGATAAGAAATAATCAATATCTGGAACCATTCTCAATGATGGTATCGACTATCGAGCGATTGTTTCCTATGGCTCCCATTACAAGCTGAGATTTAAGCCGTATCAAGCAAAATCATCAGCGATCTTTCAACAATTCTCAAAATATTATATTAGCATCAATATAAAATCCAATCAATCAGCAATTACTTTTAAATCAGCCAGCTAATGCATTTTACAAAAAGTGCACAAGCTCCGGAATTCGAATTTTTCTCAATCAGCAGCAACTGAATGGTGGTTATAAATTATTCAATAAGAAACAATCCCAATACTGTCAGCGTATCAACACACCCGTTAAATGACAACAACTATCAGCAAAACAACTTTCAACAACAATCAAATCAAAAAAAGGCTACAATAATCAACTCCAAACTGTTCATCTTTAAAAAGGAAATACAACGTTTAGCATAACAGAAGAAGCAAAAGCAGCAGATTTTTCCAAGTACTCCAACTAAAGAATTGAATGATTCAGAATAATGGTGAAAAGCTGATTACAATCATTGATACACACTGATTTGGAAGTTGATTACAAAAAGGAATTTTAACTCTACTTAGGATAATATAGCAATGGAAGAAGAAATCAGATATCAAAATTGAGCGTCAACATGTAAGCCAATTAAAATATATCAAATGCATTGAGTTTAGAGAGTGAGACAAACGGTAAATGCATCGCAGACTTCTGCATCAAACAAGCCAGACTCAGAAGATACAGCAACTGTTTCATCATTCGAAACTACAAAAGAAGAAGCAAAAGCAGCAGATCACTGCAGCAGTACTTCGAAAGAAAAATTGAATGATTATGACTTGTGGTGGAAAGGTCCAAAGTTTTATCAAGAAAGTTTTCAAAGCTGAACATAATCATTACAAAAAGAAAATTCATCTCTATTGAGGACAATAGAAAAGTGGAAGAAAAAAGCACTAATCATCAATATGGAACATCAATTTCTGCCCCTAGATACAAGTAAATTAATTAATCTTCTTTAATCATATTATTTCCCTCAGAGACGGAAGAAGCTGATAAAGTGATTTAAAGGCAGATTAGTTATCAACTGAACAACACCAAGAGAAAATTAAAGCAGAGAGAGAGAAATCAAAGATTAATTATAAGCAGATTGAAGCTGAATATAATGGAGTAGCAAATATTTACTTTTTTGAAAAAAAATGTGGAATCTTTAAAATAAATGAGCAGCGAATGTCCAAAACAAAAACAGCGAGTATATCAAACTCGAAACTCAAAAATTAACGATGGAACTGATCATCAACAGACAGAACAAGCAATAATATGTTCTACTACTAGTCAAGAATAAATTAATCAAAACTAGCTTTATAGATAGGACATCGAAATACAAAAAAAAAACATGCAGGAGAAACTTTCTGCCGATGGACGATAAAGTTCCATGTTATGTGACGCCATCAAATCAGCAACGTGTAGCCGATCTTATTGAAAGGTAACTTCATATTTCTATTTATTATAAATTAAAGAAATTCTTTTAAACTTGTCTAAAGAATTTTTATGGACATAAAAAGAGAAAATGTCCCACCGTCCTGCTCAAAAATTTTTTCGGCACTTTAAGTTCTTTCATTTGGTGAAAATTTGGTCAATGATATTAAAGGTATTTATTTCTCTTAATTTTACAACATCATTCTTTATTTTCAGCATAAAAAAATTCTCAGATGTGAAGAATTAGAGGCAGCTGAAATAATAAGCAGGAAGCAATGCAATTTAAACAATACCAGCATCAAAAAGAAAAATATCTTTAAACGAATGAACAACACATAACATCAAAGGCAATAGCAACAAGTTCATTCCGTTTTTTCATGACATAATAGATATTAAAAATCTTTTAACCCAGCATTTTCACAGGCGAATAATGGATATCCATTACAGAATTGAGGGATCATCGCATCAACAAGTCTGAAATAGTCGACAACGTAAACTTTCCTCCAATGGATCTGACGACGATAAAGCATGATTTTGACCTGGATCAACATGACCTGAAGCAGTAACGGATGTGTTTCTTGCCCATACTTCCATGGGCTGATCATGAATCTCTTTGCAACAGTATGGTGCGTAAGGATGAGAAAGAATCGCTGAGTCGATACGTTTGAAGGGTAATTTGATATAATTATTTAATTTAAATTAAGACAAATCTTTTAGATTTGTCTAAGAGAATTTTTATGGATATAAAAGGAGAAAATGCCTCACCGTCCTGCCCAAATTTTTTTTCGGCACTTAGAGTTCTTTCATTTTGTTGACATTTTGTCAATGATATTATAGGTACCTAATTCTCTTAATTTTTCCCATTTTTCTTGTTTTAAGGAAAAGGGAATTATCAGGAGTGAGCATTCAGAAGCAGCTGAGACAAATATTAAACAACAAGCATCTTAACATCAACAGCATCAAATAGAAAATATGAATAGACTCAACCTTGATCACACATTAGATCTTTTTATGACCTTAAGCATCTGGATATTTGGATATTTGCTAAAAACTCAAGTGGATATTCCTTTATCGAGGATAATTCTTCTTGGTAAAAACGGCCCTAATAGTACTTATATTTTGTTGATAAAAATACAGCAACGAAACTGTCTGGTCTTAATTGGGCGATAATAGCACCATAAGCAAAATATATGGGGCCATAGTTTCATGTGCTTGAAGAAGAAGCTGAATATAATCCAATTAATAACTTTAACAAAATGAGCAACTGGAAATAAGGCTTGGATTGAGTCATTTTGCCCAAACCTTAAGAAGATCTATTTTCATCACCGGCTGATTAAGTGAAAAGATTGTAGAAATCAAATGAAAAGTGAAACACAAACAAAAAGAAATTCGTTCAACGATTTTTGAAAATTTAAATGGAAGTTCTAAAATGACATACAGAATCATGATTAGTCCATGTCAAACATATATTTTGTGCAAAGAAAAATAAATTACGGGAAAATTGGTTTATTAGTAATTTTTAAGACGCTGTAAAATATGGTTTTCCTGAAAAGTATTAAGATTTTCCTCTTCAATTTTCTTACGGTAAGTCTATAAATTGTGAAGAAATATTAATTACATTAAAATAATTGAATTAAGCTACAATTATTAAAATAGAAAAAAAAAATTAAAATCAAATTGCCACGAAACTAGATTTGATTGGTCTAGAAAGGCCGGAATGTAAACATATTAAATTTAAATCATCATTCTGTGGGTTTCTCTACCATTTAACAATATGCTTTTACCTTTAAACTGTTTTAATTTTGTTCCTTATTTTTTTTACCATTTTAGATCATTTATTTATTTTATCATCCAGTCAACTCGGGTGCTTTACAACTTTCCAATGATAATATTGAGATGACATTAGGTAAATTAAACACAGGATTATAAATCATAACATCAATAAGAATTACACGTGTTATTTTTGCACAATCTAATGCGCATACGAAAATTTATGCCTATCTTCCTGCATTGATAAAATTTGTATTTCCAAGAAGCAATTCAAAACTTGTTTTGCACCTACTTATCATGATTTCATAATCCACTTAATGAATAATCATAATCAGTGACTTTTGTGATGCGACTTTCACCAAATATTTTCTTTCTTTTGCATATTTTTAGCTTCAAATGAATTAGTGGTAATAAATTTTTATGCTGATTGGTGTAGATTTAGTAATTTGCTTCAGCCCATTTTCGACGAAGCCGCTGATAAGGTTTGTTTACATTCTCATTTTGACATGCTGATCGATTAATTAATTTTAAGTGTCTTGTTTTGTTTTCTTTAAGGTAAAAGAAGCATTCCCAGAGCAAGGAAAGGTTGTATTAGCTAAAGTAAATTGCGATGTCGAGTCATCGGTAGCTCAAAAGTTTCATATTACCAAGTATCCAACGCTTAAAGTGGTGAGGAACGGCCAGACAGCGAAGAAAGAATATCGTGGTCAAAGATCCGCTGAAGCTTTCGTAGAATATGTAAAGAAACAGCTAGAAGATCCAATTAAAGAATTAGTAAGCTTAAGAGATCTCGAAACATTAGATGATAAGAAGAGAATCGTTGTTGGATATTTTGATCGTCGTGATTTACCCGAATATCATATATTCCGACGTGTTGCGACGAATTTAAAAGAAGATTGTCATTTCTTTTTTTTCTCATTTAAAAGCTTTGTAGCCTTTATTGATAAAATTGATAATTTATAAAATTGCTATATTTTACAAAAACTTGGTGAATACCAACTTGAATAAACATAGAATAAGAATAAGTTCACAGGAGCAAATGTATAGCCAAAACTAATTAACGACAAAAAAATATTCAAAATGTAACGTTTCTTTTCTTTTTAAAAAAAGTTGCTCAGATTTTGACCGTTGAGTGCTCAGTTATAAATATTGTTACTACTTTTGTTGTTGTTTACATTAATTTCAAATTATTCGTTTAAATTGTGCACAAATAGGAATAGGGCAATTAAAAGGAATTCTCAGCTGTTAGATTTGCTTTTTACTCGACAATGATCTACCAATCTAGACAATCATCATCAAAGATTTCGTACTCGTCGCCTCCATCATCTAGATTTTCACTGTAATTATTTCTAATCGATTTTCTTTCATCATAACTCAGTTTAAAGTAATCCTTGTTGTAGGTTTCCGCTGCTGGGACAGTATAATTGAAGTCTGTTAGGTTTTTGCGCAGGATATCAAGTTTCTTCATGGAATTAACAAAAGTTGATTTCGATTTTCGTTCCTCATAATCAATCTCTTTGTGGTATACTTTTATACCATCGTTAGTCACCAAAACACCTTCAACAACATCAAATCTCTTCATTTCTATACATGGCTTCAGAATCTTGCGGATGTTGAAAGACCAGTCAGTGCTGGTAGTAAATTTTATGTGATTCAATTTATTCCTCTCGGCAAGAGACTTGTTAAACTTTCTGATGCCATTTTTAACAATCGTGGCTAGTGCAGAACTGACAAAAACACAGCAAAGAGCTGTTTCCGGAATTGTTTGTTCTTTAGAGAACCGTCTATTTTGGAAGTAGAATGTCTCAAGAGGATATTGAGCCATATCAAGCTTAATGTTCATTTGATTGAATATTCCTTGGATTGCTGCATGACTATTAGCGTTCCTTAAATCTTTAGCGTCTTTAGCATTAGTGAATCTTATCCATACATTTTTTAAATCTCTAGAGCAAGCTTGGATTGTATTTAAACTCTCAATTCTATCGTCTTTTTTGATATATTCAATTTCTCTTTTTATATAGTCCATCTCATTAATGATGAAAGAGTTGCTATCCTTTAATTGATCCCTGCAAGTGTTAATGATGAGTTTACTTTTATTCTCAACAGCAGATCCAAATTTCGCCATTAATTCGACCATAGATTTGTTCATTCCCAACATAATTTGCAGCATTCTCTTAACATCGATTTCATCTTTTTGTAGTAGTTCACTGTATTCAGCTGCAATAATCTTGGCTTCAGTTATTATTGAATTAAGCTCAATTAAAGAGTTTTCTTCGATATTAATGCAGGATGAAGTGGTTGATAACTTTTTAGGCATTTCAGTTTATTGGACGTTGTGAGCCTTATATGATTAATTCTTTAATAAGACGTGGATAGTAGATGACTTATAAAATCCTTTTTATTTCCAGTATGCTTTAATTAATTACTTTAACATTTAATTTAACTTTTATTAAAATTCTTACGACTTAACCTTATCTGAAGAAGAGCTAAGATTTTCTATGCTGGGTTTGGCGACGTTGTTGAATCTATGCATCCACCAGGCCAACCAATTATTGTTTTTCGACCTGATGTTGCCGTTTCACACGAGAATGATGAAACATATAAAGGAAATTATAATAATATTGACGACCTTAGTAAGTGGGTGCAAGTCAAATGTGTTCCATTAGTGAGAGAAATCACATTTGAAAATGCTGAGGAATTAACGGAAGAAGGATTGCCATTCTTGATTCTCTTCTTCCGTCCTGGAGATACTGAAACAGTTAAGGACTACAAAGCTATTATTGAAAATGAATTATTATCAGAGAAAAGTAAGTTTACATCCACAATTCTTGTTTGTTATTGAAATTGTAATTTTTATGTCCTCTTTTAGCAAATGTCAATTTCTTGATTGCCGATGGTGACCGATTTGCTCATCCACTTCATCACCTTGGAAAGAGTCAATCAGATTTGCCACTCATTGCCATCGATTCATTTAGACACATGTATTTGTTCCCAGATTTCAAGGATATGTACATTCCAGGCAGACTAAAAACTTTCCTTGCTGATCTTTATAGCGGCAAACTTCATAGGTAAATGCTTAAAATTAATTTTTTACTTTTTAATCACTAAAAAGGATGCTAATTTATAGGGAGTTCCATTATGGTCCTGATGAGCCTCAAAATAAAGAAACTGAAACCCCACACCTGCAGCATGTCGATCAAAAAAGACCCACAAATCCACCAGAATCAACATTTAAGAAATTGGGACCATCAAAGCAGCGATATACCATTTTGTCTCCGAGAGATGAGTTGTAAATAAAATGATTTTATTTGTTTTTGTATGAGTATAACGTGATAAACATGTATGACTGTTACAAATGAGTGTCAAAAGGAGATATAGGTATCAAGCATTAAGAAGATAAATTTTGTGATTTTTCATACAGAAAAGTTAAGATCCTTTGAAAAATCAAAATCCTTACGTCAATCTACAAATTCACAGTTCAATATGAACCAAACCCATTTTACTTAAATTATTCAGCAATAGTTATTTTTTTGCTTATCAGTCAGCATATGACATTGAATTAAACTTTGTAGCAAATTATTCCTTAGTTTTTGCGCATGTAATACTTTTTTTTTATTCGTTCAATTTAAGTCAATTGACTTTGCTGTTATTTTTATTGTACAAAATAATTTCTTATCGAACACTTTGGTCAATGAACACTTGTCATGACTTTTATTAATCAAAAAACAAAAAAATATTAGAATTGCTTCACTATCAACACCTATTAAATGTTACTTGCACAAAAAAACGACTTCATGCAGTTTGATTTCATGCAATTTTCAGGAAAAATATTTCTATGCCTTATAATAATTAAAAATTATAACATCGATATTAATGTAGTGCTCTAACGTTTTTCATTTTCTACTAAATAATACTAAAAGTCATAACTTGAAAAGCAAGTATGAGAAAGACAAATTGCAGAATAACTCAAGTAATTTAAGATTTAAATTCTTTATTAATCTTATAACATTGCGGAGATTCAGTGCTGTTAAACTAGGCTTGTCTATTAATCAGCTCAAATAGCTAAACCTTACTTGAGTTTTGTATCTTGCCAGATAAGTTAAATCATGTCTTGGGGATCATACTCGAATGGCATCTGTCATTAAAAGGGTAGACAAGAAATCAGCCAGAAACTTTTCAATGTTTGGGAGCGGATTTTAAAATATTCTTATGGACGGAAATAGTAAGACAGCATTCTGAGATTTTTGTTGTCTCAATAGCCTAAAGATGGGATGTTTTTACATTGAACTTCTTCTGGTTACGCTCCTAAAATAGCCCTATTTTAAGGAACTTAGAATAATAGCTAGATAACAAAACAAAATTATTTCTCTTAATTTTAAAAATTGTAACGAAAACTCGAAATGGTCAGAAAGATCATTGATTTTGCAAGTGTTTGTATAAAATCATCTCAAAATGTTGGACATCACAAGTGAATGAATGAATTTAAAATAGATACAACGTTTTTCATACCTCAAGTACCAAAGCTGCATACATGCTCTATGAATTACTAGAAAAAAGAATGATATGCTGCATGCGAATTCGCATTATCATTATTATAATATTGTATATGAAGTGAATGTGTATTATCATATAAATCCATTAATAATCATTGAATTCATCATTAAATAAACCCGCTAAAATTTTTCAGTTAAAGGTTTCCATGCGGGGTCAGAGGAAATCTGGTGTAGAATGCATGCTAAACCCGTATTTGACTAAACTAGATGCTTGGATCAAACTGCACTCAATTAATCTTGTACATATTCTGACCTTAAGGATGCTGCTTTAAACATTCGTCCAATAGTTTTAAATGCCCAACTTACAGAAATTATTTGAACAACAAAGTCTTTTCCTATGCATTTCGAGTTTTCGGCCTTTTCCTGCCACGAAATTTTTTGTACTATTAAAACTACTTTTTTTTTGTTTTTTGGTCATTACTTCAATAAATAAATTAAGTTAAATAGGAACTGCTTAAAACAATTTTATAAAGAAATTTTTTAATTTATATCAGATTAAAGTGATACAATAAAATTATGTGAACCGAATATAAATAAGTCTTTTTACTTCCTTAATTACTCTTTTTTAAAATTTTTAAAAGCATAAGTCATGTAAGAAGTAACAAGTTGGTGAGTTCGATTTAAAAAATTTGGCATAGATTTTATGGGACTTCTGAAACCATCTTAACCTCCTTCAAATCTTTCAGAATTGACCTTGATTTATAAGGTACAAAACCTTCATTCATATTTTTTCTACATTTTAAAGACTCTGAGAAAGAATCAGCCACAATTCAGTGGAAAGTCATCAATAAAGAAAGAAGTTGTTCGATCTGGTTCGATCTGTTCGATCGGTAAGGGGTCTGAGACTATGTTTTGATGATTTAAGATTCAATAAAAGATTGCAAAAGACAAAACTCAACCCCCCCGAACATACAATGAGTATACTCAGAGCACATTATTTTTGAGCTTGCAAACTTTTGTGAGAATGTGCTCATTTCATACATTAAAGTGATGCGATCACGGTACCTTTTTGAGTATGCTCAGTGAGCACATTCCTATGTGACATGCATTAAGCTCACTGAGTAAACTCATGAGCATACTCAAATGAGAAGGCAACATGCCACACGCAACATTTTTTTAATGCAACATTTTTTATTGAATATAGTTATGAACATTCTCAAAGAGTATATACTCATAAACATACTCAAAGAGCTTATACTCATAAGGATACTCAAAAGATATATGCTCAGTGAGTTTATTTATATAGACTATATGCTCATCTGAGCACATGCATGAGTGCAATCAGTTAAAGTCACAAAATTCAAAAAATTAATTAAGCTAAATTTGAGTTTTATAAGGATAATTCTGTGAATAATTTTGGAATGTTTAGAAATTATTTATTAACATTTTATCTCAAATACTTAAGAAGAAAGTTTTAAAAACCGGTCACCCATCCTTGTAGAAAAATTTATTGCGTTGCTTAACTTCTGTCACCTCACACTTTTCCTTGGAGCAATTTTCTGTAAATAAATAATAATTTTTATATGGCAAAACACATACTTAAATTATTATGTTATTACAGGCAAACTAAGTTCTTTGAAGTTTGATACACTGCTTAATTGAACTATATTTTTATGAAATATTTGATTTGATCAGAGCACGATCGTGAGAACATATTATGAAAAAATGTCGACCAACTTAAAATTAAACTGAGAACATATTTTTATGCAAGTCGACATTTTCGAAAATGTCGACCAGCTTAAAATCGAACATCGAATATATTTTTATATTAGTCGACATTTTCAAAAACGTCGACCAACTTAAAATCGAACAAAGAATACATTTTTATGCAAGTCGAAATTTTTTGAAAAATGTCGACCAACTTAAAATTAAACTTTGAATACGTTTTTATGCAGGTCGACATTTTTTGAAAATATTTTACGAATTCAAATATTAGTTCCATTAAAGCCAAAAGATTTTAATCGTGCTTAATTGTTATAGTTTTTTAAAATCAAAGTAATTTTTAATTTAATTCCTTGACATTTATTTCAGAAAACTTAAAAATGTAAAAAGTTTCGTACATTTTTGTATTACATATCTAAAATATTCAACATTTGCTTTTAAGTTGGATGACAATTTTTTAAAAATAACATTTTGAAAAATGTCGACTATCGTAAAAATATATTCTGAGCTGGATTTTAAGTTGCTCGACGTTTTTAAAAATGTCGACTAATATAAAAATGTATTCTAAGTTCGATTTTAAGTTGGCCGACATTTTTGAAAATGTCGACTTACATAAAAATGTATTCTAAGTTCGATTTTAAGTTGGTCGACGTTTTTGAAAATGTCACACAGAAGTGAGTATGTTCTTAATATTCTTATGAGAATTTTCAGTAAGTGCACTCATACGAGTGTATTCACATAAGTATGTTCTTAATATTCTCATGAGTATGTTCAGTAAGTGCACTCATATGAGAACGTAGAAAAAATTATGTCACACAGAAGTGAGTATGTTCTTATTATTCTTATGATAATGTTCAGTAAGTGCACTCAAATGAGAACGTAAAAAAAATTATGTCACACAGAAGTGAGTATGTTCTTATTATTCTTATGATAATGTTCAGTAAGTGCACTCATACGAGTATAGTCAAATAAGTATGTTCTTAATATTCTCATGAGTACACTCGTTGAATGTACTCACATGAGCTTATAAATTTTTTGCAAAAAAATAAAGTGAGTACATTCGTAATGAACTCCTGAGCATGCTCAGTTGAATGAGCTTGCATGAGTATAATTTTTGAGTAGACTCACTTATATGCTCACTTTTCTGAGCATGCTCTTTGTATGTTCGGGCCCAAGTCAACAAAATAAATAATCCACCGAAAACTACTTCAACAGCATGGAAGTTTTTAGCATCAAACAGTTTGTCACGTTTAAATGACAGTTAGAGAATAAATTGCCGGTGCCTCTCATTTGATGAGGTTTAAAACAAAACGAAAATAATAAAACAATTTACAGTTTTATTAAAACTTTATGACTTCTTTTTTTGAGACAAAAAGAAATGTTTTATTTTGTGTATTTTACAGTAATGACTTCTATGCAAAAATCCTAACATTACTTTACATGCTAAAGTACACAGTAAAACTATAAACAAAAGCATTTGTTTACGGAAATTTCATGATTTAAATTAGTTTATAGTTGAAAAAAAGAGAAAAGAGCAAAAATTAGAAATTTGTCGCAAATTTTTTTATGGTCCACAAAAGAGCAATGCATGCTTTGTAACAAAGAGAAAAAAAGGTGATTGTTAGGCTGAATAAAGCAATTATGATAATCCCATTTATTATTCTTGACAAATTTTCATATTTATGGGTCGTAAATGTGCATACAAAAAAAAGTGTAAATGAATAAAAGTTTAGACGTTACAGACAGTTGACAAATCTGTTACTTTATGACAATTTCATATTTTTGGAGACAAGACATTAATATGCTACAATAGACTTCCCATGAGGATATCATTCAAAAGTTTCCTGTGCGATAATCTTAAAATCATCAAATGTCTCTTTTTTTCTGTTCTGCTGTGATTTCATTCATGATCTCATATTGCATGACACAGCCAGCACCTTATTCATGACATGATTACAATGAAACTTCTAAAAAATATCAAATTTCGCTAATTTTCCCACATTTATTCCTTGATAATCTCCCATAAAGAGATTTACTCTTTTGTGCAGGTATTTTATGTCTTAGATCAAGTGAATTTC